ATCTATCCTAAAATCGAATCTTAAAAAGTTTTGGCGTTTGCTTCCACCAAAGTCAAGTAGCAACCAAATCGAACTTGTTGATTCAGGAGGTCAACCGATAAACAGTGAGGATTGCGCATCTGTCCTTAATGACTACTTTGCATCAACATTTAACCCCGCCAATAGCACTGCCGTCTCACCCTCTCCCTTCAGTTCTCCTCAAGAACTCTCCCCATTCGACATAAATCCTGATGGAATTTCTAACTTAATTCGTAATCTTAAATCTTCTTCATCGGCTGGCTGTGACTGTATCACCACCAAGCTTTTGAAGAACACTGTCCATTATTCTAGCCTATTACTTTCTCTAATATTTTTCCAATCCTTAGAGCTGGGCACCGTTCCAGACGAGTGGAAAAAAGCCCAGATTATACCGATCTTTAAGTCAGGCAACCGGTGAATCCCAGCTAATTACCGTCCAATTTCTTTAACGTGCATTTGTTCTAAACTATGAGCATATTATAGCATCTAGTCTCATGAGCCACCTTGAATCAATTATTTCTTCCATCCACTTCAACACGGCTTTCGCAAACATGTTTCCTGTGATACCCAGCTCGCCGAATTTACGCACGACTTACTTAATTCCATAGATAATAACCTTTAGACAGAAGCCATTTGTCTGGATTTTTGCAAAAGCCTTCGACCGCGTACCTCACAATCACCTGATTCGCAAGCTAACTTCTCTTCCTCCGAATTTATTAAGCTGGATTAAGCACTTTTTGACGGGACGCATGCAGTTCACGTCAGCTCATAACTGTCAATCAGCATTTGCTAAGGTAACATCCGGCGTGCCGCAAGGTGCCGGTTTATCGCCCCTTCTGTTCCTCATCTACATTAATGACTTGCCGGCTAACATTAAATCTAATATCCAACTTTTCGCTGATGATTGCGTCATCTACACCGTCGTCAATAGCCCTGCTGATGCTAATAAGCTACAACGCGACCTCGACTCAATCGCTTCATGGTGCAATAAATGGCTCATGCCCCTAAACATAGATAAGTGCAAATCATTATCATTTACCCGTAAGCGTGCCGTACTTGCCAACATATAGTCTATTATCGCCGTGCCCATAGCTTCCGTATCATGCTACAAATATCTTGGCGTCCACTTGACTTCATCGCTATCCTGGATCACCCACATCGATTCCATCTGCTCTACAGCATCCCGTACACTCGGCTACCTTCGACACAATTTGAAGTGCGCATCCTCCGACGTAAAAAAAACTAGCTTTCATCACCTTCGTACGACCTAAACTTGAATATGCTTCAGCAATCTGGCATCCTTCACAAGCCTACCTAGCAACTAAATTAGAGTCCATCCAAAATCGCGCAGCTCGCTTCATATCTTCGCAATACTCACACAAAACCAGCGTTACCTAGCTAAAACATTCTTTCCCTTCCAACTCTTGAATCCCGCCGCTTGATCACCCGTCTATGCCTTCTGCACCGCTTCTACTATCATCCACGCTCAAGACATCAGTTGCTCCAATCTGCTCAAAGAACTTCATCGCGCATAAATCACAGCAGGCCCATTGCACGCATAAATGGCCGGACGACAGCATTTATCCTCTCATTTTTTCCTAATGCAATAGCCCTCTGGAATGCCTTACCGGATGACTTCGCTTCATGCGCCGACAGAGAAACGTTCCGCGCAAAACTGAACGAACATTTTTTCAAGCCTCTCTCCTGATAATCTCAACTACTTCGTGTTTATCGCCAATCGTTTTAGAATTGTACTCAGTTTTGCTCTGCAATTATTTGACATATGTAAAGCATTGTGTATTCTTTTTTATCTTGTTCTAGTTCGTTCATGTGATTTCTGATTCCTGTCGCCTGTTTAAACTTATTTGCTTTTATTCATTTATTTATTTATTTACTTATCCTGTTGAACATTGTACCCTATCTTACTTGTTCACCTTTATGTAATGCCCTCTGGCCTTTAAGGGCGAAATAAACGAAAAAAAGAATGCCTGCCGCGTGAGGAAAAAAAAAAAACAGCTGCCACACCCTTTTTCTCCTTCATTTTGAAAATGTTCTCGGTTGCTAGCGCCACCTGTGGTGAATGGTGCAACAAAGTAAACAATTTGCATAGCCTCCGAAACAGCGGTGCACAATTGCAGATCTTAAACAACTCTCGACTGACGCGCCCCTATGGGCCGCAGATGAAGAACGCTTAACTGGTACCACGGCCGGACTCGACGCTCCTTCCGCACGCTCCTTACGGCCTTCTCAATACCGGCGCCGCGCATAGATTTTTTTTTCTGACGCGTAGTGCGGCGGCTAACCGCACGAAGGGCAGCACCACATCACTGTAAGCTCCGCCGGCTCCCGCGTCGCCGACTGCGACTTTTCTTGACTGCGTTCGATGACCTCGGGTAAACAATGCATCAGACACGCTCAGGCACGCTAACTGCACTAGCGTAGCCATGGTTTATTGTTGCGTGCCGCTGTGTAAGTCACAGCAAGGGAAGACACCGGGTGTGTCGTACCACCAATTTCCTAGCGATGAGGAACTGTGTTCGAAGTGGAGGAAAAATGTTTCACGTGAAAACCTCGTCATCAATGACAAGTCCGCATCGACTGAAGTGTGCAGCAAACACTTCACGGAAAATGACTATGTTCCCGGATATCGTATCCGGAAACTGCGTCCAGGAGCCGTGCCCACGGTCTTCGATCAATATCCTTCGTATATGGTCCCGGTTACGAAGAGGCCGCGTAAAGAACCTGCAGCGCGTGGCCCCTCGGCCACCTCGGCTCTTCCACACCCGACGAAACGGAAAGCGGAGTCATCGCCGTCTACCTACTGGGAGTGGATACATCGTGAAGCTCGTCAGTGAGTTTCAGTGTGATGCTTGTGTTACGATGCTGACGACTACGCACAAAGCTGATCCTTTGTATGTTCTGTTGCACAGCCAAGACAAAAGTGCACTCCACTACCCAAACCGTATGTTTTTGACACTGTTGGACAACATTGTTACTTTCTTTGAAAAAGCTGCTAGCAAACTTCCGCGTACAAAAGTGCATGAAGTGCTGCAACTTCTGGTTACCCCACACCTTGAACGATCACCAGTCCTCCTCTGCCCAGAGGGTGTAGACAGCAGCCACGCAAGGCGGAGAGCTCGTTTAATTGCGGACAAATTCATCAGACTTCTCGTTAACTACACCAAGATGGTGAGCGATAGAAATGAAAAACCACTTGCGTATGTGCACAAGCCGTCTAGAAAATATTTCAGACTGTGATGAGTATGTCATGGAGGTTCGCTTTATTTGTACCATGCATTTGTGTTTGTGTTAATTTGTATTGCTAGCGTGGGTTTGAAAGAAAAAGGTATTTGCGCTCAACTCGCACAGAAATTGTTTTTTATTTAAGTTCTAGTCCACCTTACGACAAAATAAATATTGCTTTTTCTCTCTGAATTTTGTGCGCTGTAATGGATTACTGTTGCTTGTGACAACACGCGTGTGCGAAAATCCGGGATAGCTGCCGGAATGGTTGCGACTGGGTAAGCGGTGCTCTCAGAGGTTGGCTATACCATTTTAACCTCATCACATGCAACGACCGAGCTGTATTGTGTGGATAAAACGTTCATCTTCAAGAATTCAGGCGCCGCAGTTGGTTCTGTTCCTCGTACTCAGCGCTGTTATGATGGCCATAGCGCTGTGGCGCGCACACTGCGCCCGTGAACGCGCTTGGAGGCGGCGGAGCATGGATGGATAGATGGATGGATGGATATGGCTGTACCCTTTAGATTGGGCGGTGGCTAGCGCCACCAAGCCGTAATACTTAATGAACCCAAAATCATATTTTATTTTTTTTCCTTAAAAAAGGAGTTTGAGGATTCGTACTTTGCAGTGAAGAGTTTAATTTTCACTCGTGCCTTGACTTTAGCCACCAATCAGATAACCTCCTGCTAGTTACGTCTACTTGCTTAAAGTCTATTTTGCCCTCCCGGTTCCTAAACCCCAGTGCTATGAAAAACTCTGCTCCATCATCCTTAACTATAGGGTGAAGCCCTTTACAGAACATTATCAAGTGTTCGGCAGTTTCTTCTTCCTCTCCACACGCACTGCATTCTGTGTCTACCCCTTCGTATTTGGCCCGATATGTCTTGGTTCGCAGTACTCCCGTCCTTGCCTCAAACAGTAGAGAACTACCCCGAGTATTATCATAGATCCTTTCCTTGGCAATTTCCTGCTTAAAAGTTCGATAGATCTCTAGTGCGGACTTCTTAATCATGCCCATTTTCCACATGTCAGTCTCCGTTTCCTTCACTTTCTTCTTAACCGATAGTTCTTTTTGGTTTGGCCACCTGCTGTTTTCTAAGTATTTACCAGTGAACTTCCTGGTTCGCGTCCTCCATTTTGTATCGACATTCTTCATGTACAAGTAGCTGAAAACCTTCCTAGCCCAGCGCTCCTCCTTCATTTTTCTCAATCGCTTCTCAAATTTTATCTTGCTGCTAGCTTCCCTGCCCTCAAATGATGTCCATCCCATATCACCTTGTACTCCCTGATTTGGTGTATTCCCGTGAGCTCCTAAAGCAAGCCTACTTATTCCACGTTGCTTAATTTATAATCTTGCTTGAACTTCTGATCTCATGCACAAGACCGCATTGCCGATCGTCAGCCCAGGAACCATGACCCCTTTCCATATTCCTCTCACAACATCATACCTATTGTAATTCCACAGTGCCTATTTTTCATCACTGCTGCATTCCTGTAACCTTTAGCAACAGTGGCCTAGCAGCGCCACCCCGAACTTGCGGCGGCAGGCAGCAAAACGCCCCAATGCGAAGGCCGTAAGGGGAGCGCCGGAGAAGGAGTCGAGTCCGGCCGTGCTGGTACCGCCCGCTGCCGTGATAATAGTCTCGGTCGCGAGCGCCACCGCGCGGCGCTTGCTCAAAATTGAAGGCAGGCCAACTCCGCTGGGAGCGCGAGCCATTCCCCAGGCATTGTTTAGAGGAGGCGTTGAGCGAGCATGGAGGAAGGTAAAACGCGAGAAAACACGTGTAGCGAGCGAGTCGCTTCCCTCGCGTGCTCCTAGTGACGTACAGGTGTTCTCTGCAGTGACGGTTGACGCTGCGCGCTCCGTTTGGCCAGCTGGGTGTGTGCCACGTGTGTTTTCGTAGTCATGTCTAAGATCTCGAGAATGGCGTTGTACTACGTCCACACAAGGGAACACCTGTCGCGGCTCGGCGCATCGCCCCGACTTCTCGGCTCCGCTGTTTGATGGGCCGCGAGCGTCGTGGAGCACGATGGCCCTGCTCTTCGCGCGGCGCCGTCGACCCACTCTCGTTCGTCTGCTCTCGCTGCTGGCTATCGCCGGAGTCACGGTGCTTCTGCTACGGAGCCGTATCACTTCCGACGACCACCTCGACGATCGGGTTGCTTTCAGAGAACGGCTTTCTCCAAATGACGACCGTGGAAAGGCGGCTGCCACAGCGGTGGATGTACCGCGCCGCTACGGGGACGACGACAGCCCGGTGCTTCCGAACGTGTACGACCCGGATGAGACGGAATTCTTCGGCAGGCTCAACGAAGAATGGGGCAAGGGCGGCGCGGGAGTGACTCTCACGGGTGCCGAAAAAGAAAAGGCCGACAAGGAATTCTCGAGAGCTGGCTTCAACGCCTACATTTGCGACCGCTTACCGTTAAACAGGACACTGGGTGACCGTCGTCATCGCAGGTGGGATGTGTACTTCTCTCTCTCTTTTTTTTTTATTGCTGTCCGCACATAGAATGAGTTCCGGTTTTGCGATTCTCCGCGTTGTTTGATCAACTTCGAGCTTCTTTCCCCGTTCCCTTTCACGTAATGATTCGAACTTTGGAAAACGAGGCAACGATTACCGACGATTCCGGCCTTCCCGCTTCCTTTCACGTTTGTTTTTACTTTTTTTCTTATGTTTCCTGTAATCAAACAAGGTGATATTGCCGAGTTGAGCGTATGCTTAGTGGAAATGGCGTCGCCGTGTTGTGACAACTCGATAAATTGGAGTAGTGGTACAACATCGATAGTACGCAGCTGTTGCCCCGACACTGTGTCAGATCGCTCGTTGGTGAACTGTGGCAGCCTGCTACATAATGCGTCCGCCAGCAGGAAAGACTCGTGTTGCCTCTCGCGACTGTATTGTCTCGCGTTACTGTTGTGCAGGGTATTCTGGATCACCTTAGGCAGGAAGCGAGCGTGTCGGCGCCGTTATCTGTTGGTGCTTCTCTCTTCCGCAGCTGCCGGAATGCGGAGTATGACGTCGAGAGCCTACCCACCGCTTCCGTGGTGATCATATTTACCGACGAGCTCTTCTCTGCCCTTTTGAGAACCGTGTACAGCGTTATAAACCGCACCCCACAACGCCTACTGAGGGAAATAATCCTCGTCGATGACTACAGCCAAATTGGTGAGTCGATGCCCGCCACCGGTCGACCACTTCACTTTATTTACTGATCTCTGAAAGAGTTCATACTGATGTAATTTTAAAGACGATAGTCTTTCTTTGGGACCTCTGACGCCGAAATTTCGGTCTTTCTGTCTGTACATTTGTTTGTCCGCGGTAACGATACTCCAAACGGCACTAAACGATACCCCAAACCAACCCCATCTGCAGCGCCCACCAATATTGCTCAAGTTTCAGCGTTCACACTTGTGTGATTGTCAATTAAAAATCAATTACTGCGCATATCGGAGGCACCATAACAACACGTCGACATTTTGTATGTGTGTCTTTATACTAGTGAAGGCACACATAAGTAATTTTAAGGACTGTAGCGTTTATCACGCTGCGCTGGCAGTGCAATGCGAAGCTGAGAAAGGCAAGTGTTTCCAACGCTTTGCTAAGACGACATGGTGGTGGCACCTGCCCGTCGCTTTACGTTCTACAACTATCGCCTGCGAGACAGGCACGCATCTTTCTCCGTGGGCGCGCACGCTCGTTTTCGAAGATAACTGTCAGATGGCGCTCCTGTCTAACGTGCCTCGATGCGCTCGTCCGCCTTCGCTGCACGGATCGAGACTCTGTCGCAGCGCTTCCAGAATACAATTCACCGATTTTCTTGCGCAGAACATAAAGGTTTTGCTCACTCTCTCCACGCGCAAGACTATCGTCTTTTGACATTTGCAGTGAAACATGCAGATTCGAAACCATTTTTTTTTCTCCTAATTTCTTTTTCATATGATCAGACTGCACCTTAGCTTACTTGATATTTCTTAACAATCTTGTTTGTGCTGAAGTACTTTACGCTTGGCAAAATTGAATATCTGCATCAACTCTGGCACCCCCTTATAGCCTAGTGTATGTATGTATGAACATCAGTGGAGAAGAAAAACTCGTCACTCTTTTTCTTCATTTATTGTGATAGCAATTATATGGACACTCTCGACGGATTTTCGCCGTCATGTCCCCGATATATGTGTGTGTGTGTATGTATATATATATATATATATATATATATATATATATATATATATATATATATATATATATATATATATATATATATATACATACACACACACACACACACACACCCAATTAGGGCAACATTTGAGTTCAATCAACCAAAAGACCAAGCAGGCTTCTGTACAGGCTACTCCACAATACATCATATTTATACTATCAATGGTAATGTGATTGCAGCTTGTGACAAATATTGTAACTCCGCTCTTACTGGACGGATTCCCAAAATTTTTGCGGTGCTGAATTCTTGAGAAAATGGATTGATATGTAAGGTTTAGTGTCCCAAATCTACCATATAATTATGAGAGACGCTGTGGTGGAGGGCCTTGGAAATTTCGACCATCGGGGTTTCCTAACGTGCCCCCAAATTTGGGCATTCGGGCCTACATTAATTTCGCCTCCATCGAAAATGCAGCCGCCACAGCCGAGATACGATCCCGCGACCTGCTGGTCAGCAGCAGAGTACCTTAGCCACTAGACCACCGCGGCGGGGCTTCGTGAGGCAATAAACTCTTTTAGTAAATCCGTTCCATGGTTACTTAAAAAAGTGTTCCATAGCTCCTCGAGGGCTCGTTTTCGTTGCTAGAAACAATAATAATGATAACTGACCGACAATTATACGAAAGAGAGTATAGGGAATATTGTTCGAAGTAATTGTAATGTAAATTTGAAGAAAGAAAAGTGGATGAAATGTTAACTGGTCATGGGTAGAATTTAAAGCTGCGTTATTCAAAGGTCGCAGGTTCGGATCCTGCCCACAGCAAGTTATCCTTCGATCCACTTTTCTTTCTTCACACTTACATTACAATTATTTATAATATTCCCTGTACTTTGCTTGCCATAATTGTCTGTCAGTTCTCATTATGTATGTGCACATGATTCAGAGCCTGAATGTTCAACCGAGATGGAAAGTCGAACGAGCCTGAATATACGCTATTGGACATTTCATAGTGTTATGCATTCAGGCCGCAAGCAACCGACGCTCGGGTGGCTAGAATGAAAAGGTGTGAAAAGTGAGTCGTGTTTCTCTTGCCCCGAGGCGCCGCCTTGCGCGATATCTCCGCTACGCCGAAACATGGCATTATAGTCAGAGGCGCTGCCAGCTAACATGGGGAAGAGGGATTGTAGGTCAGCTTGTCCGCTTCGTGGGCTTTCCACGTGGTTTTACGAGTGCTTTGTGTTACGCCATCTACGAAATTGAGAAAACTCTGGGACCGTGCTTCATGTCTGGCACTGTGGTTCGGGGTATGGAACATGCACGGAAAAGGCGTTACTTATGCTGATGGAATCCCAGTTTGGAAGCTTGCCATGTCGCAGGGAGGTAGAGCTACGGAATTCTTTTATTGTGGGGCTGAAAAGAAAGAAAGTACATGGAAATACCTCGGCTCGTATCACAAGTATGACTGGGATAAAGCTATAGAGGAAAATTCGGCCATTTAAGAAAAAAAAATTTCACTCAAGTTAAATATGGAGAACTTGATCAAGTGCTGAAAAAGTTTTGACGCCCATGTTCGTCAAACACCAGCAGCTAAATTATTGAGTGCTTTAATTGTACAGCTTTTAAAGATCTGTACTATTGCTTGGCAAGTATATTCATTTAAATGTGCTATCTTCTTTTTAAATTTTACAACACTATATTTTCGTTGACTATTTAGAGCAACGCAGCGTGACTCACGTTGTAGGCACAAATAACAAAAGTGCACGCATCGTGTGCATATAAAGCAGTGCAAAACAGCTGCAAAGTTAGATAACTAGAAAAGTGGATATTCAAAAGCTGCTCTGCACACCATGACCATACTGCTTTAAGCAGCTAATTTAAAGCAGGCTGACACGTTTGTTCCGCACATTTCACTTGCACTCAAAGATAGTAGGCAGCTTATTGTAGCTCTGTAAGCAGCGTGTTGCACATGTTGTCGGTGTCCAACATCTAAGAAATTCCCAAAATCTGGTGTTGTGATCGGCCCCCGTGTCTTGTCCCCGCTTGGACAGGTGGAAGGATTTTTACTTTGCCACGCTTCCTGAGGGTCCAGAAAGCGACAGCACAGCGAATCCTTTAGGTCCGTTGGCTTGCCTCAAGCCTTCTGCGCCCGCACGGCAGACGGATTATTTGGAAAGGGCTGTTTTGTTGTATGGACTGCCTAGAAAAACTGGTCCCTGTGCGTTGTTGGAGTTGTCAGAATGCACCTGAAAAAGAACCGTGTGCTGGAGGAACCCGAGTGTTCTTTTCCAGCGCCACACGGACTGCCCGGTGGCAAGGCCTGCTCGATGAGTCATCTTTTAACCTTGCCAAACCGTAGGGATCGACTGTGCGCACGTCTTTAAGGTCGATGACCCGTGCCAGCAGTGCTGTGCTTTTTGTGCGTACTGTCCCCGCCCTGTAAGACAACCAGTGCGTGCCTCTTTTACTGCCTCTTCGTGAGTGCAGTAAAAGACTCCGGTTCTCGAGCGCAGTGAAACACGACGATCCCATTGAAGGGTCCTGGAATTCATTGTCTTCGTTCGCAGGGAATTTTGGCAAGACAAAGAGTATAAAACGCGGGTGCAGAGACGATCGGGGGGCTTTTCCTTTTTGTCTTGTAGCACGCTACATTAATCATGTAAATACGGTAAATAAACGTTTCAGTTTCCAGCTCGGTCTCCTCGGTTCGTTTTCGCCGGGACCCTTGGATGGCTCTGAGTAGCGTCGAAGTCCCCCAGTCGCAACACTGTTCAAATTCGTTTACATCACGATCGAGTGATCATTTTCTTTTGTTGGGAATTTTACCCAAGCAATAGCGAAAAGAACGTCAACCAGTGTACTTTATCATAATACAACACTAATTAAGTGTGGTTGAAGCCATGAAACTAAATACTATTTACAGCGAAAGCTGTTATTGGAATTTTATTGCTCACAATTTTTTCATAAAGTTTGCACGCACTGTGTGGACCCTTAGCCATTGGCTAGTTTGGGTCCAAAAAGATACATTTCATAAGGGCACTTCGAAAAAGCATAATAAAGAAAGTATATAATATCAATAAAGAATCTAAAAAGCAGAACAGTACATGAAATAACCACACAATGATAAAGAAGAGAGAAAAAAATTAAGTACCTTTGCTTGCATACTAAAATTAGGACAGCCATCACACTAACCATGTCCCGTCATTAATAAATCGGAACATTCCTCTAAATAGCGTTTTTCTAGTGTCATAGTGGAATTTTAACACACTTTCATTTCAAAGGTATAGCATTCCATATTTTAATACAAGCAAATTGCAAATTTCGTTCACTGTATACGTTGTTAGTTTGCGGAATATTCCATTTACCAAAGGTTAGTTGTCTGGTAGAACAGGAGGGTGCAGAGAACATCGACACATTGAAAAGGTGGTTGTAATTATTAACCATGTATACATATTTGGCTAGTTTTAATTTTCATAACATATTGAATAGCAAAATGAGTAATCGGGAAAACAGAGGTTTACTAGAGTCATACTTGGAATGAGTAATTCTTACAGCTTGTTTTTGAAGTTGCCTAACTGGGTCCAGGTAAGTTGTATACGTGCCGCCCCAAGATTCAATGCAATATGAGATATGACAATGTATGAAAGCATACTAATGTATTCGTAGATTAGTGCTATTAAAGTGTTGATGAGCCTGAGTAAGTGGATCACACCCTGAGGCTAATTTGGAACACAAATTTTGAATCTGCGTCTGCTATTGTAAGTTATTATCTATAGTGACGCCAAGATATTTAATTGTGGTTACTCGCTCGATCACAGAATCTGTAATTTTAATGGGTATATCACTAGCGCTAATGTATTTTAATCAAGAGTAAAATGTAATACATTTGGTCTTATCGGTATTTATAGATAGTCTATTTGATAACCTATGAGCAACCTTATCTAATTTGATGTTAGGTTTCGACTCAAGGTCACCTAGATTTTGACCTGTTACTATGACACTATTA